ACCAACCCATTCGGATCAAAACTACTCGCTCGTATAGAGACAGAACCCAACGAGTAAGTCCGAATCATTCTGTGTGCCTTGTCCTATCAGAATGATCGATAGCTAACCCTGACACTTTGGATAACAGAAATCAATCCAAGTCAGGCGATCACAAACAGCAACAATAGGACAAGAGCGATCTACCCCAGCGAGAACAGGTGAATACCTCTCACCATAAGGAGATAGACCAAGTGGATGCTAACCTCTCGCTTGTGTTGAAGAACAGCTGCTATCTTCCCTTTTTCACATTACCCTCATCGCTCTACACTCTCAACTCAAACCCATCAAACACTGCATCGGCAATCCCGATCAGTAGCAATCATAGCCAAGAAGCAGATCAATTGATTCTGCTCTTAGGTAAAAATCTCTTCCTTCTGTCTTCATTTCTTGCACACATTGTAAATAGTAAATCATTGCGCAAGTCTAATGAAATGGAAATGCTCTTAGTTGTCTAAATTCTTACAGAATCTTCCTCATCGACTGGAAGGAATCCCTTCCAGTCAATAAGGTATAGGTTCCTCATCAGGATGTAAACGGGTTGGGTTTGGGCCCAAAACAGTGCCAGAACCCAACCTGACACCTATGTTGGGTTGGGTCAGGTCGGGTCAAACTTGAATATATGCTGCCCGGACCCGAACCTGTCTTGGGACTTTTCCGGTTTGGGTCAGCAGCTTGCATGTCGGGTTTGGGCCGACCCGAGTTTTTTAGCCTTTGTAGAGCAACTATGACAAAAACTTACCTGCCCCACTATCAAAACATCTGCCCAAACCCAACCCACTAAGCTTCCGGGTCAGGTTCGGGTGATGTGATTTTCTCACAAAGTCTGCCCAAACCCAACCCATGACCCGTTGGGTCTTGGGTTGGCTTCGGGTCGCCCCGACCCATTTACACCCTGAGTTCCTCATTGACCAGAAGGGATTCCTTCCAGTAAATGAGGTAAATCTTCCTCGTCAACCGGAAGGGGTCCCTTCTGGTCAAGTGGGAGCGACTCCCAAACCCCCACATGCATGAGGGGTGGTTTGGGGAGCCAACTCCCAAAAAAAAATATTATAAAAAATAAAAAAATGAAAATGAAATTGGGCGGACGACTCCCAAAATCCTCCCAGACTTTAGAAGACTACTCCCAACAGATGTCCACTGACAGTTGTTGGGAGTTGTTGGCAAAAAAACGGGAGTTGTTTTTTCCCAAGCCCTAAAAATAGGAGTGGTTTTATGACTGTGACTGGTAATATAATGGGTGGTAAGTGTAAAGGTGGGTTGAGATGATCTGGTCCACTGGTGGGATGATGAAAGGTACAACTGGCAGGCAGAGGCCTCCTTATATAGACAAAAGTGATGGATTTTAGCTCCAGGGTACAGGCTTTGAGGCATTTTAGCTGGCCTGAAAATACAATGAGGGAATTTAGCTAGTCTAGTGCATGCAGGTGAGGGAATTTGGCTGGTGAGAGCACAGCCTTAAGGGATTTTGGCTAGCCTACAAGGTCCTACTACAAAGGAATGCATGTGCACCTACAAAGGAATTCAATATGAAATATGAGCTAATAAAGGAATTCAATATGAAAAAAAGTAATTCAATATCCTATATGCGTCCAGTATTCACAATGAGACGTGGTCAGAATAATAATCAAGAAAAGCTCCTGTGACAGCTTGAGATAAGTGTAACTTCTGAACTAGTAGAGATACGGGGGTAGTTGTAGTGAGTGACTAGGGTTTATTTTACCTGAGGAATCCATTTCTGATGTTATTTTTACTATATGTTGAATATATCAAGAGATAACAATAAATTTTTATATTTTTGGCGTAGAAACACAGGAATAATTACCACAGCCTCAGTGGGCTGTTTAGTGTAGTGTAGCGTAGCGGTCCAGAGTTGGTTAAAGCCAGTGTAAGAGAAGAAAATGTGGGTGTAGGCACAGATTTTTCTCCATAATTGACATTCTTGGTTTGTATGTGCCCCCCTACTCTTATTCAAGCTTTTCTCTGCTTCAGCACACCTTTAATCATCCTTTTGGTGGTTATTACCATACCCATCCCATTTCTCCAAATTGTGCAACATTACATCCTGAATATCCAACTCATCCCCCAAACAAAAACCACCAAGCCTTGCATACTCTATAGCCAGTACAATGACATCCAATTCTTGTTCCTGAGAAACATTGACCTTGGATTCATCAAATTTAGCAGAGACCACTATAAAGACTTTCTTTATATTTTCATTCCATTAATATGTGTACCCAATCTGTAGCCTGGTAATTTAGAATATGGGTTGATCCTGAAGATGAAGAGTTGGTTGAAATGGATTACATAACCCTTGCTCCACACTGCTGAGATGCTGCAAGATACATAATCCAGCTATTGGATCATCATCATCACCAAATATATCATACATAGCAGCAACTGCAACTAGTGAACACCTAAAAGCAAGCTTTGGGATGAAGAATATCTCTCTACTTGTATTAATTTCATGTGTTACTTTTGGAGCTTTGTCAGGCTATTTTACATAACCGCACAACAACTGACTGTTGTGGTTTTTGCTTTGCTCAAAACCCTTCATCTCTTTTCAAAGATGATTAAAATATTGATTACATACCTATTTTTCCAGTGCCTGATGTTGAAGGAAAGATTAAAAAAATGAATATTTTCTGTAGTTAAACATGCCTTTGTTCTTTGGTTCATCTTAGTTACCCTATAACACAAGTGTTACTAACAATCACCCAAAAGGCTAGGATGTATGATCTGCCCCCCCCCCACTTCAAAAAAGTTTTCACCTGCATGGATGCATTTTGTTTGGACCAGGTCAAACTGCTGCAGGGGTTATGAGGAGGAGCTTCAGATCAAGCTTCTGGAGCTGGTGGGTGGCGTGGATCACGATAAGCACATGTTTTCAATTCATGTTCTTGTGGACAATCAGTACTCTCCCATTCATGACCGCGATTGCACAAATATAGATCTAGTGCAGCCTCCTTGTAACCACACTTTTGTACAATAATGGTTCCGTGGGAACAGATTATTTTCCGTGAACAAGTGGTTGCAGGCCTGCTGATTATAGCCCGGGTTTCTGCACTTCCACATTTGGGGCATTCTAGCACAGCATCTACCTGGTGGAACAGAGCCCCGCCAATTAGTGCGGCCCATAGCCAGGCTGTTGCTGAGCACTTCATGGGACAGTCGTTGATTGAGACGGGATTCGATCCGAGGTGCTGCTTGTTAGAACTCGACTTGAGGTTGTACAGTGCCATAACCCTCTTTTGTGTAACACCGCACCTGCAAAATTATTTTTGAACTTTGAGCTGTATGTTGGTTGGCTCAAATAGGGCTACATTCCCTTACTATACATTTTTGGGCTCTACAGAAGCAGTAGAACCCAAAGATATAACCACAAGTCTGTAGGTGCAATAATAAAAAAGTTTGGAATTTATTTTTTCTAGGACTTGGAACAGCCACCCAGGGAGGTCATAGTATTGACTTCTGGGGGCTATTATGGACTTATGTATTATGTAGTATGCTTTTAGGGGTGCTATTTACATAATATGTTAAAAAAAATAAAAAGAAAACCCAATACATAAGTTATCTGGCAATGATTTCTTAACAGATTTGGTGGCCCTTCTGACTCTCTGGGAACAAGCTGCTTTACTCACAACCATCTTTGGTGATTCAACTCCTCCTGGCATGAAAGTCGTAAAACATGAATTGGATTTCATCTAAATATGTATGTACTTTAGTAAAAAAATCCAATTTAAAAGTCAAGAAAGTCAAAGAAATGGTTGGAAGAAGCCAAAATTGCCAAAAAAAAGAAGGAAAAAGAGAAAAAAATGGTAAAACACAAAAAAAAAAATGAAAAAACCCTCAAATATTTGGAACACCCCCAGGGGTGTAGTACAAAAGAGGGTTAGGGCACTGTATTACCAGGTAGGCGGGCAGGTTGAATAATTACTGAATCGACGACTGTGATGGGGTGTTAGGTAGAGGGTCCTCGACAGTATTTATAGCTCACATCGGCCATGTCCTCGTTATATTGGCAGCCATCCTATCCCGCAATTATTCCAAACAGGCCTGCTTCGATCGGCAATCCTCTCGAAGCCCGTCAGCTCATCGACCATCCAAAATGAGATCGAAGCGTCAGTTGAGCCACTACATGATGACTCACCACCTCACAGCAGTAGCCTGGCGCCTTGCTCGCTTGGATTTTCCTCTACCTTAATGTCCAGATCCCCCCACTATCGGGTTTCGCAGCTCCGATCAAGCGCACCGCACCTCATCTCCCAGCCCGCTGATGATCCAATTATCGTGTCAGAGGTAATGGCCTTATTTGCGTCCGCGACAGCTCGACGCCGTATCGGCTTCGGACCAATAACTCCTCGCCATGAGTGAATTCACACCTAGATTAATACCACGATCATGTCCTATTTCGGTTCAAGTTTTGTTGATGAGAATGATGAAGACTATTGAAATTCCGAATTCCATTTGATTCGAGTTTGTCTGATGTAGTTTTCCTAGCATTCTTGAGATTTGACCCCCTTCATCTGAGAGTTCGCGTAATTGACGATGAGCAACATGATTGTCTTTCCAATTTAAACGCCAGTTGACGGTCTTCTGTCACTTCGATTCATTCTTCAGTGCGCGTGTCATTCATTTTGGAACGATTATCCTCAGTTTTCGATCTGAGATTATAGCCATTCTTGATTTCAGGATGTACGAAATTCCTTCTCGATTTGGATTGAATCTTGGGTTCATTGGAGACGTAATCCCAACCGGATTGATGTGCCTGAAGTAGTAGATGTTTGTCGATTGGGAGGTGCCACATATACAGGTATCAAATCAATTCCTTCGATACCAATTTTCCGATCGGTATTTCATCGTCTTGATGAGTTTATTTTGAGCCCCTTCTTCCGCAAGTGACACCGGAGCGGAAGAATACGATGCTGAGGAGACCGACGATGGTGAGCGAGCCTGTCCGAATGAGTGTTCCGGTGTTCGCGGGACTGGTGGTAAGAAGGAAATACATAGAAATGGCAATGAGGATGGAGCTTGGGTCAGGGCATTCTTGCGAGGAGGTCCGGTCGCAAAAGCAGCTGGTCCAAAAGTATTCGACGTGATGAGCTCGAAGGGTTAAATTTGCACCTTCAAGCTGCAAACTTACCCCCCGCGCCTGGGGGGGTACTGCATATATTTCGCAGAAGCTCGGGGGCTTGATTCTCGATTTCAGAATCTCCTTAGAACATCGGATAGAGCTGCAGAGGTTCAGATGAAGCCTGCACTCAGCTCTTATGGCCACTCAATTACATTTTTCATCTTTAGCTTGCTTAAAAAAAATGTCATGCTGCACCATCACCACCCAATAATCATTATGGATAAAATCCATCATAGAATCCGTTGGGAGATCTGGATACCGTTCAGAAAGCTCTTTAATTGGCTTGACAGTCTTGGTTCAACTCTCTGCTTCTCTTGGGCTCAGGACAATGTAGCAGGTGTTCTTGTGGCTGGAGTTCTAGCAGACCATGTTCCCAGCTGGTCATAGCCACAGTACAAATTATCAATTGTTTTGTTCCTATTCCTTTCAGTCAATTTGTGAGGTTTTCACACACTCAAACAGGCTATCACAAAACTTTTGTAGTAGCCTGTTTGAAGGTTGGGGAACATCAGTCTGGAAAACAGTGCAGACATTACACAACAACTTTGACAGGAGACTGGTAGCTGTAGCTCAAAACATCTGCAACTACCTCCCAACCTATTTATCAATATTTTTCTGAATCACAGTTGCCCTTGGGTTTCAGTGAGTCGTGGGAAGATGTATCTATGTAGTATTTTGAAAATGAAGGTGGGGTTTTGGGGAAACCCATGTATCTAACTGTTTCAACAAGATCAGCTGGTGTCCGTTGGAACAACCTGGGTCCCCTCCTTCCATGGCTATGGAATGTTGCAATGATTTTGTGTGTTGGAAAGAGAATCAGTTGCTCAAAGGTTTTCTGACCTATACTTAATCTTTGTGGTTCATCTGAAGAAAAAATTATCCATTAGGTGTGTATCACTCACAAAACCTCTGCTTTAAACATACCATAAATCTCTTTGATAAAAAAATTAAATCACCAGCCATTTATTAAGGAAAAGATACAAGGCAAGTGAATGTTTTTCCTTCATAATTAAAAGATTGAGGAAACTTATAATATTCAAACTTTCCTTGTTTTCTTCAACTCCAGAAACATAAAAACTCTTGGACCTTGCCCAAAATTCAGCCAGAAGAAGGTCTTGATTAAAACCCTCTTCTACTATATTATATCATTATTCATAGCAAAGTCAAAGGAAAAAAGGAAACTCCATAAGACTTAACAATCCCCCAAAAACAAATCAAAATTTATCTTGTGAACCAATTTGAGAATTCACTCAAATCTTGTCAGTGTGTCTTCACAAAAAGGTATCTGATTCAATTGGTTTGATGGGACAAAATGACATGTGTTGTTCTGCTTGCGCTGATCTTCACACACCTCCATTTCAATTTGAACATCTTTTTTTCAATTTTCAAACAGGTTGAAAAAAATTGTGATGGATATTAGGAAGTTATCTATTTTGCTTCTTGCCTTCTTGAATAGACTCTCATATGCTCTGGAACATTTTGGGTCATGTAAAAACTTCAGAGAAGATATTCAGGGATTGGGACATCAGTTGTATGAGTGCCCTCAATTAGATTGCCCAAACAAATACTCCTTAGTCTGGAGGACCACCTGCTTAAATTGTGGTGCTTATGAGGATCAATTTCGCATGGGATGCATTTTTCATGAGTATGTGTTTTTTTTGTTTCAACTTGGAAATTCAAAAAACAAAATATGCTACATTGCACTCATCAGAGTAATAAAAAACTGACTTGGTACTTTTTTCATCCTGATAAACATAATTCCAGCCCAGTCAAGCTTTCCCATGACAATATTGAAGATTCCTCACATTTTGAAAATGCTGTAGATACTAGCAATAATTATAACACTCTGTCATTAGTGCCCAAGAGTCAAAAATTGCTTCTCATAATTTTCACAATTTTTTACATCTTTCTTGATAGATATAGATTCATTTAAAAGGCGTTTCATTTTTGATTTAATTATATAAGTTCAGATGATATTTGTGGTAAAAAGTGGTGGTTATTGAGGCTTCATATCATCCTTATCTTCATGTTTTTTATTGCCTGATATTCTCCTCCAGCTGTGCACATCCCTCTCTTTGTTTATGAAGGGCAATCCCCACCCCCCTGCTAGTCTACTTTAAATCCATTGTTAATTCATTGTATATTTTTGTGATAGAACTGGTGCATAATCAACAACTTATCCAGGGGCTTTTCAACCACCAGAAGTTATGAATTCTTTTATATTCGGTTGAGCTTTGAATATTACATGACTCACTTGTTCTTGAGATTGGAATGTGATTTCTTGTTTCTTTTTGGGCTGGTTTTAAGATGTGATTTTCTAATCTTTAGACTTTTTAGTATGAATGGATTTCAGAAATTTTATGAAATTAGGATTATATGTATGAATCAAAAAGATTTAAGATCATGAGGAATACTAGAACTCATTTTTTACTTTGATACCAGGAGGATTGAATACATTGAGATATTTATTTTACAAGAATTATGAATTTCTTCTTTTGAAATTTGCTTAAAACAGTTTTCACTAAGTATTCTCTTTACTTGAGAAGAACTATAGGCAGTGATGGGCTGCTACGCTACACTACTCTGAACAGCCCACAAATGTTAGCATAGTGGCCCTCAAACCAGCGCACCAACACTGTAGTGTTCATGCACTGTCAGTCCCACTACTCTGTTTTATGCTGTGCTACAACACTTTTAGCACTGGCAGTAAAATAGAGATGGCCCCTCATACTTGCGCACCTGCAACAAGTACAAGTACTTGAACAAAGATTCTCAGATCTCAGACACCCACACCCACACCTGTACTTACAGGGGAAGGACAAAGCAAGTACTTGCGTAGTTGGGGAAAGTACTTGCGATTGTGCAAGCTTATTTTGAGATATAAAGGTGATAAATTTTCTTGTGTTTTCATTTCAGAGATTTGTAAACTAAGTGAGTCTAAATAGTAATAATAAATCTTAACTCTTGCCATTCATTTTCTTCCTGATTTCTCCCCTGCTGCTTTCTTCTCATTCTTTTTATTTGCCTTCCATTTTCTCAAAACCCCCCTCTTGATCTTAGCATTTTTTGAGTAAAATGCCACACTCATCCCCCTAGTGACAGACTTTGCACTGAGCTTGTGCCTACTGAGAGAAGCATATTCCCTACCAAAGCTAAAGGATTGCTCCACATCAACAGTGGTTGATTCAGAATGTGTGGGAAAGTTGGTAAAAAATCAACCAAAATATTATTAATAATTTGGATAAAAAACACACCTGGACAACTAAGCACATCAAGTGCCATCTGAATTAAAGGTGCACAGGTGCCCACCTGCAACAAGTCCAAGTACTTGCATGAAAATTCTTAGATCTCAGAACCCCACACCTGCACCCACACCTATAGGCAAGTACTTGGTGCCATCTCTACAGTAAAAGCAGCCAAAAAAACACTACAAGGTGCTGCAGCGCAGCCTAGTGGTCCGTTTTTTGTGGCCTGTGCACGTAGTTGTAGCGCAGTTGTGGCTGAATTCTGATGTGCTATGCTAAATTTTAGCGGGATTCTGCTATGTTATACTGCACTAAAACTGCAGTTAGAGTAACTGTCCCAGTGTTTCTATAGGCCAAGGCAGCTGCACCACTTTGGGAATACCTTTCTGATTGACCCTCATGCCAGCCGCAAACTTAAATTCAGATTTCTACTATTTGGCTCCTCCAAGTTGTTGATAAATCCTTTCTTAAGCTTATTAATTTACCGCACAACCATGACTAACAGTCAAATGTTCACTTGTATGCTTGAAATTCATGTCAGGATGTCAGCTTAGCAGTTTTTTGAATTTTACCCCTCAAATTTTGTATTTTGATGGCATTTCCATGCAAACTTCCCAAAGGTCAACCAAGCTTCTACTCATCTGTCTAAGTGGACTTTGTAACCCTTAATCTACACTGCTTCATTTCTCCAAGACACATAAGCCAATGATTGGATCACCATCATCACCAAGTACATAATATACTAGACACAGCAGCTGATGAAATTCTAAATGTGAGTTGTAGGATGAAGAATGTATTTATGCTTGTTTGATTGGATGATTCATTAGCTATTTTTCTTATGGTCTCTGATAAGAGGAGCTATCAAGTATAAGAAATCCACCATTCCAAACCATTTAACTTTTTAAAAATAAAAGTTTGCATCCATGGGCCCCCAAAGGGGGTAGGTGATGAACCAACAAGTTTCAAAAATGTTGAATTTTTGCAAACTAGTCAATTGAATAATGGAGGATTGGCTATATTTGATACCCTTAATAAAGAAATTATCAAGAATTGATTATTTTCTATAGTTAAATTGCCATTCTATTTCTTTTTCTTCCCCTTAGCTACTGCACACATTCTTGTATAGTTGGAGAGAATGTCAACTTCACACCTATCCTAGGGAGCAGTCTGTGCAAAGGGGGTCCAATGTCACAATTTCTTTTTCTGTTATTTTTACCCAAACAAAATATCCAGATTGCAATACTTTACCTTATGTTACAGTCTAATAGAGGCTGTATCAACCAAAAAAAGCCTGGTGTTATGGCTGTTGAAAAAATGCAAGATTTTGATAACAGTAAAATTGCAAAGTAATTAAAAATTTTCACTTTGCACTTTACCAATACAGATACCCCAGATTGGGTTTGGTCATGAATTCCCTGGGCAGGATTCTGTTGGTCAAGAAGTGCAATCTTCAATGGTGGTCTGTGGCACACTCCTGACCAGGTTACAATATGAAAGGCCTGGAGTGCTGAAAATATTGGTCAGAAATCAAATCAGTGAGGATGTTGCTGAGAAACACCCAAAAAGCTGGCTATGTAGTAAGAATCCCCTCTTGCAAAAAAGTATTCACCCACATAAACATGTGCATTTTGCTTGGACTGGGACAAGTGTTCATGCAGGGGAATTCTAACATGTTGCAGGTATCTTCTAGGGTGGACAAATGTTCAACCCATTATGGTTGTTACGTGTAGGGCAGAGCCCCAATCGGTGGTTTGAAGATTCAAGTGGACAGTCAGTCTCAACCCATCTATGCCTGCACTTGCTACAGAGATAGTTGTCAGATGCAACATTAGTTGATTTGCACTGATAATGAGAAACACCATGGCGACAGATGACATATTGGAGACACTGAGCTTGGGTTGTGCTCACTTCAACCTGGGTAGACTGGCTGCCACAGATAGGGCAGTCTTTCACCGCAGTTATCAGGCCAAGCAGAGCCACACCAATTAGTGCGGCCAAAAACCAGGCCGTTGCTGAGCACTTCATGGGGGTGATGATCTGATTGAGAGGGGATTCGATCCGAGGTGCTGACTGCTACAATCTGACTTTAGATATAATTGCGGGGAAGTTTTAACGACTCGGCGACGGTGATGGTGGCAGACAATGTGGCTCATTGACGCTATAAATAGTTAAAATTGGCTATGGTTTCCATTCCCTCCTCATTGCTATCCATCCCAGCAGGCAATTCGACCAAACAGGCCTGCAATCATCTGAAGCTCTTCAGCTCGGCGACCATCCAAAATGAGATCAAAACTAGGAATAATTATCAATTCAAAGACCAGAATGAGATTGATCAGGGATAACCGATCAAGAAGAGGGAGAAGGAGTAGGTGAAGGGACGCCACAGACGCCTTTGATTCCTTCTCCGTGATTGAGGACATCTGTGGCAGTCTTAGGCAGTAGACGGTTCTGCCCTCCGCTTGGAAAACCCGGCGCCGGTGGTGAGCAGGGCTTGCCACTCGAACCCATAACATCATCGTGCATCAGGTCGGTAGAACGGCCGTCGTCCAATCGTCTCTTTTGTTTTGTAAAGCTGAGATTTTCATCGTCGTCAGCGTGTTTTTTTTGTGACCCTCTGTCTATTCAAACGGTAAGAATTTGAGCTACGCCTACAGTCACAATCACTGACCTCAAGAGAACTTTGCGGTGCAATAAAATGGGAAACTTTTTCGACCAACTCTTTCCTCTCTATCAACAATCATGGGCTTGATTAATCAATGCGCGGACTGTCGATTTCAGTTGACCACCAGTCTGCCCCAAGTACGATTTCTGGAAAGAGTCTTGTTGAGAATCGGATCTACCAAAGCTGATTGGTCCGAAATATTTCAACATACCATCTACAATTTAAAAATGGAAAAAAGGATTAGTCCAAAATATCACAACATACCATCTACAATTCAAACCTGAAAAAAGGATCAGCCCCTCACTCCCTCTTGAGGCTTTTATCTCAAGGAGCATCAAAATATAGCATGACTTTATTTTATTCTTAGCCCACATTGTGCAGTCAGTAAAGAGAAGGGCTTGATTTTACCAGGCTCAGCTCTTGATGGAAAAAACATTCTACTATATCTTAACAGTAACAGCAAATTCAAAGGAGATGATCAAAGACACTCCACAAAACTTAAAAAAAAACTGACCAAAAATTTACTTCATTCAAGTGATCTGATCAACTAAATGAAGAATGCATTCAAATCTTGTTGGGTTTACTTCAAAGGAAGGTATGTGATTTCATCAGTTTAGATGATCTGATCATCCACTTGACAAGACTTTTCACACAAGCTTCAAGTTTCAATTTGTGTGGATAGGGAAATTTTTGGGTTTTGCAATTTCAGCTTAACCAGGGTTGAGATCCTTTCTCAGGCAGGCTTTCAACCTACTAAGATCGGTTTCCAACACAAAAACTATCTTGAGCTGCATGGGATCTGTGAATTTCAGCTGGAGATTTCCAATTGACAGGTGGGCTTTTTCAGACATATAAGGCCTTTGGAGTGAGGGTTACAAATGGGGGTGTCCCCGTGGACAGCGCCATATGCGGCAAAGCCAAGGCAAACTTAACGAAGTCTCCGGTCGTTTAACTCGCGCGGTGAGAGCATCCGCATCAGTCGTCAACTTAGTGCGGATTAGGGCACTTAATCCGACTGCGCAACCGCATCGGGTCAGATTAAGACAGGATCAACTAGATCCAGATCTCCATTTGGAGCTAGTCGGGTCTAAATCTAGCACCCGGTAATCCTTGGACTAAAGGCAATTTGAATATTCATCAACACCGGGATCAAGGAGGATTAACACCTTTCCCCCTCCATATACATCTCGAGGAGGAGATATCAACTATATCGACTCTACCACATCGACATCCAATACGAGCACCATGGCCAACAACAGCGACGAGGATCAATCGTCACAGGATCAGACAAAGACCAAACGAGCTCCCAATTTCTCTCCCGAAGAAGACGAACAGCTTGCGAAGAGCTGGGCCGTCATCTCCCAAGATCCCATCCGATCAAATCAGCAAACCAAAGACGAATTTTTCGCACGAATTGCGGAAAACTACAACAGGTACACTCCTGGACCTAAGAGAGATGCATATAAGCTTGGATGCAGGTATTTATGTGTTTTGTCACTCTAGTTGGTCTTGAGTATTATGCTAAAATCTACATTTATTTCTTCAGATGGAAGCTTATCCAAAGGCCCATACTTCGTTTCGGGGCAATCTACGATCAAATTTCTAAGAATCCAGCGTCGGGTTCGGCACCATCCGATTGGTTACGGAAAGCGAAACAAACATTTCTTGAGGCTGAAGGGAGGTCCTTTGCATGGGAAAGCGCCTGGGAGCTCCTCAAGACGATTCCAAAGTGGCAGACAATGGCTGATGGCAAAGCAAAAAAAACGGTTCGACCGTCTGCAAGCGCATCAAACCCTGTCCCCGTGCTGTCTCCGAGTCCAGCTACTCAAGCAGCTGGATGTGATTCCACCTCACACGAAGCCGAGAGTCCGGTGGCGGAATGGAAGCGACCTGAAGGCATCAAGAAGGAGAAGCGCAAAGTTGAGGAGAGCGAGTTCCGACGTAGGAAACTCAAGCTCCTTGAAAAGACTGCCAACGATACTGAACGAAGAATTACTGCCGCAAACCGTTTAAACGAGATTCAAGAGCGCTTGGCTGCGACTGAGGAGCGGAACTCCGAGATGAAAGTGATGATGCAAGATCTTGCTGCATGCCCGGACGACGACGCGCGTGAGTATATTTTGGCGCACAGGAAGATGATTCTGGATAAGATTAGAAATCCTCAACCCCCTCGTAACAACTCACTGCAAGTCAATCAATCAGAGGCTGCCCAGAGCACCCCGCAATCCGGCTCTCGTGTTCGATCCGAGTCAAATGATCGATCAGATGGACACTCTGGAGTGCAATCACCAGCGGCATCTCGATACCAATTGGACACTCCTGGTCTACATGAAACCTCTGACTCACACCTGGATGACCTCAACGATATTGTGTTTTCCACACCAAACCCAACTCAGATCACCCGACGTGATTCGATCAATCCGGCTTTGTTCTAAAGGCCGATGGATTTCTTTTGTTTTTTTCTCACTTTTTATTTACATCAGATTGAAAAAAAAAGTCATTGACTTCTTAAAAAAATAAAAAAAATTGATTGGAGATGTCTTTCAACCCAAAGTCGCTTGCCCTTGATACAATCGCTTGTTTGCCTCTCATCTCATAAATTGATTACTCGAAGAGTCTGATTTTTTACAATCGATTGTTTGCCTCTCATCTCATAAATTGATTACTCAAAGAGAGTCTGATTTTTTTCAAGTTTTTAAATACATGATATTGAAAAAAAAATGTTTTTTTTTTTAAAAAATTAATTACTTGATCAAATTGATCATTTGTTTGAAAGAAATAAAAAACCGGGTGGGAGAATTTCACAAGGGATTTTTTGCGGGGCATAAGCCTTGTGAAGTCGATGCCTGGTAAAAGTATAAGGTGCGGGGTGTAGGGTGATTTTTACAAGGCTTCTCTGGCAAGGGTGGCCTTGTAAGCCGGAGCCTTGTAAAATAATACTATGAAAACCGCCTCCGGTCAAGATGAAACGCAAATGTTACAGTGCATAGCTTACACCGTCGGCAAAGGTACCTGGTCAAAATACAGCTACCCCTGTATGGTTTTGAAAAATACAAGGCTGGGTTGTTACGGGCTCAAGCCCTGTATGAGTGAACGGTGGTCAAATACCAGAATCGGCTGTTGGGTCAGAATTTTCCATGTGTCTCAGCCCGGTTTTCCAAGGCATCAGTTTTGTTTCTTCCCACTTACATCTGCCTCTCATACCTCCCTTCCGATCAAATTATATATCATAAATTTCACACCGGTATAACGCCAATCAAACAACATGGATCCACCCCGATTTGGAGAAGATGCCGAGTGGCAGTTAGATGAGGATTTCGGGTCTTCTGACTGCCAGTCTGGCCCAGAAGAAACAGCCAAGGTCTCAATCCGCCTATCACGAGGCAAGCCTAAAGTCAACGAAGAACGGCTTGACCCCGAGTCCGCGGGGCAAAACGATAAGACTTTCTTTTTGCCAACAATGAATGAAGAAACGTTCATCGACCACAACTGCGTCATGGATCCACAGGGTTATCCAATACTCCCCAATGGAAACACGGTGTATGTGAGACCACCGGGTGCGAACATCTCTAACTTTGGCAATGTCGGGTTTTCCAAGCGAACCGGGACCGAGTACCGCTCAAAAGGTGCCTGGAAGCTGAAGCGGATCTATTGCTTGGGGGTCCTGTCCTGCGACTTGCCTGGCTGTCGGTGGGCTGGGGCTCCTCCAACCGGTCGGGTTGTAATGTCGGAGTGGTTGGAAAAGTCGGCAGTTCTTATTTTCTTATGTGTTTTCATGTCGGCAAAGGCTAACGTGCATCTCCGACTGCTTACATCCGCTTGATTAGAAACTCTCACTGTCGAGGTGCTCGTGGAACGTGTCTAGGGACGGTTGTGCACATCCCATGCAAGCAAACACTCATCCGGGTCGATGAGCATGTTGCTACGACCTGGGCTGTTCTACGTCACAGAGGTATACATGATCACCCTTGGCCGGAGGCAAAGAAGCCTGACCAACTTGCAAGGGACGCTCTGAAGAATGTGATCGCATCAAATCCCAAGGCAGGTGCCTTTGCTCTCAGGGTAAGATGAATCATTGCTCAAATCAACTGCATGGCCAATTTTTATTAATGTGATCTGGTATCGCAGATCAGGAAGCCGAATGCATCGCAGGACTCTTACGAGAGCGTCTTGGATATCCACCCGTCCCTAGGCAATGCAGATCGATTGCGTTATTATCGCAAGCTGATGCTCAAAGAGTTGAACATTACACCTGACAATATTAGCGGTGAGGTTGATGATAAGTTCATAACGGACTTATTCAAATGGGTCAAGTAAGTACTCACGCCCCAGGAAGCAGGACATCTTGTGCCAAACTAAGCCCCTCTGGTGATTCCTGGTTTTGCAGGCGTGGGATGCTTATCATCTCGTCTTCATACTTGGAAGGCGAGGAGCACTTTACGTTCCAGTCTGAATGGATGCAGAAGCGCCTCTTGGCGCGGAATATTGATAATCAGGTTTATAGCACGGGGCTTGTGTCTGATGTTACCTATCGATTCTTTCGAAATGGGTATTTGCTATCCACCTCAATGTACTGTGAAGAACTAGCTAGATGGGTTCCCATCCAGCTCACCTGGATCCGAGGCTTGGCTGAGAAGTATTACGAGCGTCACTTTGCGACGCTATTCCGCCAGTTCTTACGTCCGGATTTCACCAAAGCCGAGAGAGACATACTTGTGTGCAACATTGTGGACTTCTCGGCGGCTCAGCGTGAGGGGTTTGTGGCGGCTTACTGGGAGGTTTTCGGGGTTTGCGAGAAGAAGGTAGTGCTTGATAAGCTGCAAGGGTGTCATGAACACTACTGCGCACAAGTAAGCCGAGTGAAGAAAAACCGCCATGTTGTTATGGCTGATGAAGAGGTAAGCAATCATGTGACCCCTTTCTTGTTCCTCATCTCAAAGATGTACTGAATGCCCTGGCTGCAGTCTACTTTCCAGACCATGTGCATGGATCTGATCAAAAAGCCGGTCGAAGGCGATCCCACCCACGAGGAGCAGATCGATGCCCTGCGTAGGCGTTTCCCAAAGGCCAAACGGTGGCTAGATTGGTGGACCATGGCCGATGTGGAGGCCATGCTCTTCCCATCCCGCCGTCCGCTGTTAGAAGACGCTCCTGATGGGCAGGACCGACCGACAAAGACGACGAATGCACAGGAGAGTCTTCATCGGTTGTACTACATGCTCTCGTGAGTTTGCTCACCGTTCCCTTACCCAGTTGATATCCCAGTTGATATCTCGTGGTGCTGACATGCTCGTTTGTGAGACTGTTCAGGGAAGGAAAGACTTCCCTAATGCTGGGCATGGTCCAGCTGTACTCGTTCATCAAAGTCCTTGAGGAGGACTTTGATGCCGTGATGCGAGGTGTATCAATCGAATATGGTTCTGCCCGCAAGGGGATCGATGACATCTCGAAATCGCTTGGTTGGGAGAAGAAGCGGAAACGAGCTCCCAACCCAGCCAAGCCGGCTGGGGACGAGAAGGTTCGACATGCCTCGGTCAATGATGGAAGGCCCCCTGATACGACCGATGGCCTCCTCCCAGAACTGGCCAAGAAGAAGCTTGGCAGACCCTCCGGTTCGGTTAACATCGATCGGAACCCATTCTCAACCTACCCTTCATATCGAGCGTCCACCCAACGACATTTGGCCAATCGATGCTGGATGGCGGCAGCTTTAGAAACTCTGTACGCTCTGTACAGTCCACTTTGGCATCGGGGCTCCAGTGGTAAGGGGACATCATTGTTCACTTCGCTGGTCAAACATTTTTCGGCACGGACGACTTATGAGCTAACACAAGCCGGCAGCATTCGGGGGGCACTGACTAAGGCCCAAACATTGTTGTTCACCCAGGCTCAGAATAGATCTCCCCGTAGCTTTGTTGAAGGGGAATTTGCGTCGGCAGATCTCTTTATTGAGATGTTGTTGGATCCAAAGGCCAACCCGAATCGAGCCCTCAAAGGCCTATTTGATCTAGAGGAGAAACGTACACTGACCTGTCCGAGTCATCCCGGCGAAACACAGAATCTCACTCGGGTTGTGCACACTATCAATATCCGACGTGCTATGTTTGACGAGAATCAGATCCCTCATGCAAACGTGGCTCAGCTGTTGAGCAAATGGACCTCAACTGCATTGCAAGGTGTATCGGGGTTGACATGCAAGAGTTGTCTTGCTGGGCGGGTGATCAGGCACCAAGAGTTTGTCCCAGTGGCGTCCGATGTTGAAATGAGCACTTCTCAGGTCGGTTCTAGCAATAATTTCTTGTACATCGAGTCCTCAACGCTTGGAGTCCCAATCGGCAAAGCCCCGCCTCACCTTTACTTCTTTCTGGATGTGGCGCCGATCGTCGACGAGGATGAACAACAGCGTTTCATGGCAACTACCGACTGGCCCATGTCTATTTTTGTCTCAAATCAGAGGTATAGCCTCTTTGCGCGTGGTTATTGGAATGGCAGCCACTACTGGTGCAAGGTACTCAAAACCGTCGGGGGAATGGTTGGCGTTTGGCTTCACAACGATCTTCAAAACGATGGGTATGCTCGCTTGGTAAACGTGGATCCCAGTAAACTCAGTGGTCCTGCTCCTCACACCAGTTGGCTGATGTACTCCCGCTGCTGGACCGGGCCTGAAAAGGAATATGTCAATGAGATGATTGATAAGATCCAGAAGGATTATCCCCATGCTACTGGGCATCCTGCTTTTGGCGGGCTCTCCAACTTGCTGGAGTCTATCAACACCGACAAGCCAATTTCACAGCTTGAAAAGCATCCCGAAGTCTCTATCAACACCGCCAAGCCGATATCACAGGTTGACAAGCATCCCGAAGTCCAGGACGAGCCGGTTGCATCCCCTTTGCCCGCTACAATAGAATTCAACCCGGCCAGTTCTCAGGGTGGCCCTTGAGGTACGTGATTCACTTGTCTTTTTCATTGCTTGGGCTGTTGGGTTGCTGATGAGACTGGGGGACTGGTATGCTTTTGATGTGTTTGTAGTACCCGCCGGAATTGAGTTGGTTGTCAATGATAACCCGAAAAGCACAACGGTCAGCCAGCAAAAACTTAAGCTGAAGTTAAAATGGTCAACACCATCGGCACCTAAGGAGGATAAGGAGGCTGATACTTCGGGTGCGGGTGGGCTGAGGGGAAAGTCGAACGAGATTGGTTCTCGAAGGAGCAAGCGTGTCACAAAAAATGGGAAATAGCTTGCAAAAAAGGGAAAATCACTTGTGAAATTCATATTATCTTGTTTGAACGGTCTTTTTGCACCCGTTTTTTTTTACATGGCCAAGCCTTGTGGGGGAAAGCCTTGTGTTTTTGTCTTCGGGTATTAGGTTGGGTGTTTTTGCAAGTGTTTTGATTTCAAGGGCTTATCCCTTGTTAGAAATGCCATGGAAAAATC